ATATGTGAGCAACCTAATATGAAGAGATGTATGCTTCTAATGTTTTAATGACTTTAAACTGGTGAAGGGAGCAGATAAATGTTCACAAATTAACTCGTGATTGAACCAGCAGTACAAGACATCATTTAATGATGTTTCATTGAGAAAAAAGCAAATATGTGCACGCACTGTGTATGCATGCACGCATAAATGTGTGTGTGTGTAGATACACACACAACATAAGCAATCATAGATTATCTAACGAACAGAAAGCAAAATTGCAATTGAAGTCAAGTAGCATACCCTTTTGATAAAATCACGCCCATTAGAATCTGTGTAGAATGTTTTGTTGGTTTCCATAGAGGTTGAAATACTAGTAACAACTTCTTTACCAATTCCATCATCAATAGGTATGGGGCCAACCTGGAATTTCAAAAATAGTCAATGTATACGAATACATTTTGCTTATGAGAACCATAACTCCAAACCAATAACAGCAGTGAATACACGAAAAGAAATAATGAAAAAATAAAAAGTGACAGATAATGTACGCAACGACCAAGAGACAGAAAAGTATAGAGTAAAAGCAGAAACTCTAAAGCTTACAATAAACTCTACTTCAACATGCTCTTTTTCCTTGTTCAGTCTGGTAATCTGCAAACAGATTTAATTTACATTATTTCGAATAGAACCTAACTTACACTTGTTTATAAAAGAGCTTTTAGGAAGAGAAAAAGATGAATAACAAAAAAAAGAAGAAGAATACAAATATCTCCAGGATGATCTCTGTTTGTCCAACGCAGTGATCTCTCTAAAGTAACCATCAGCTGTCTAGGAGGCCATGCGCAATACTATGCTCTAAACTTCTATAACATGAAAAATAAAATGTTCTGCTAAAGAGTTTATTTCATTTAGGTACCTCTAGAGGAAGAGGTAGGAGGGCTAATTGCCTCCAAGTTTCCATTGGTCATACTCTTGATTCACGTGTACCAAGTCTGGGGCAGAATAATCATTCCAGTCACTAAAGCATCTGAAGAGATTCCCAGTATAGGTTTGTCCTCTAGCTGCATTTTCCCACAACTACCGTGAATATCATTTGAAGCAAAAGATCCTTAATGGAGATTAAGTAGTATGGGATGCCTAAGTCTCACATTGAGTGGTATGGAATATTCTATGGGGTATTTAAGTAGGTCAGTTCACCCACCTCAACTTCAAGCTTTTGAGGGATGGTTCCCAACCCCACTTGGATACCCATCAATTGTATTAAAGCCTGGTTGCTGGTGGTTTTGGATAAAGCTGCCCACAGAGGGTTTAACTAGTGGAGAGTTCTAACCAACAAGGAAGTTGAGTAAAGTTTGACTCCAAGTATTGTTGAGCGTTGCCACTAAGACATTGGCTCTTCAAGGAGGAACAGCTGATAGTAAGTATGGTATTATAAAATACTCTATAAGGTAGTACAAGATGCTCTACAAGGATTTACTTAGGTTAGCTCTCACATCTCAACAGCTAACTCTAAAAGAAGGCCCCAAATCTCACTTGAGTACCCATCAAGCCTCATTCATTTCCCATAACTGCAAATTGGACAACCAGTTCCAAGTGATCAACTTGATCTAAATGTGTTCGCTTACACAGTATTGCATGGTTCCATTCAACGTGTCATGTGATGACAGATTTCTGATGGCCAAAATTATTATTAAAAAACTTATGAATTAGACAGCAATATGCTGTCAAATATTAAAATCAGTAACAAGCAAGATACCTGATATATCCACGGATTTATCTGTTGATGCACTTCATCTAGTAAGGGTCCACGCATAACAGTCGATGGAACCTGAAAGCATGGTATTTTAACCGCAAGTTACAACAGAACTTGGCAGTAGAGAGAACGGCAGTAGAGAGAACTTAATGCCGAAAGCGTCCCAAACCTGTCTTTCATGCTCTATGAGATATGTGTTATTTGGACGGAATACATAGGCACCGGAATTCTGTGAGAGAAATTAAATTGCATGGTAAATAGAAGTTCATGCCTGGAGAGGCAAAAGGTTACTGACATATGGTTATTTATTCTTAAAAGGAATACCTGTGGCACTTCTTCATCAGTTCCATTATATCCTGAGTAGTACAAATACCTCTGTTCAATCTGTTCCTCAACCTTCCAAGTCAAAAACGGCAGTGTTAAACAGAGTCCCGCTTGTTTGTTTTAATACTTTAGTATCAGATACCAATAGTTATACCCCAAAAAAAAAATAATAATAATAATAAGCCCAGCAGTATTAGAATGCAGGTGATAAAAACATAATTAAATTAAACAAGCTGAGGAAAAGTGAGAAAATCACTAATAGGCATGATGACACACATGACAGAAATTTTATAAATCAAATTAAGGTTAATGTGCGATGTAAATTGCAAGAAGAAGTACTTTGCATACCAAGTTTCTGGTATTAACATAGTTGGTAAATTTTTCTTGATTTGGAGAAAATGTAAGCCTCAAATTCCCTTGACCAACTTCAATTTTCGTTGTTTCACTACTTTGATATGTATACACAGATGATCTGGCGGAACCTGCAACTAAGCAGAGAGATTTATCATTACAATTTCACCTTGTATGCATGAAGAGTAGATGATCCCTTTTTCAACATATAATAGAGCAACCCCATCTGGAACCTGTCCTGTTGGCAGCTGAGACCGTGTATGTGCTAAAACCAAGAGGTGGGACAGATACTGTAAATGCAAGCCAATACTTGGGTGCCTTGGCTGGAGTTTCTCCCAAATATGCCATGACATGGTAGTTTCTTAAGGATGCATAGACCTCAGCCTGAGGTAGAAGTTGAGACACTATTTCTTTACCCTCAGAATCATAAACTGTGACATCTCCATTTGTGACCTGTAGAAGTTTGTAAATTGAAAGGTCTTATTTCTTCCTAGATACTTGCATAACTAATTAAGGGGTAAAAATTATCATATAATTGAAAAAAATAATAAACCATGCTATCTATACGTCACTTCTTTATGCCAATTATTTAATGCCATGGCCACGCTGTAAACTTTTCATATTACAGTCTAAAATCAGATATTTGATTTTACATGTTTACTGATAATTCTACCACTTTGGAATCGGTGTTGCTCCTCATTTTTGTAGTTTTGCATACTTTCTCTAAAAGCAGGGGATTTAACTGTGTGATGAATCCAGCAACATTATTTCTTTAATATTACATGTCCCTTTTTTTTTTACAAAAGAAACTTCCGATGCACACACATTTACTCACACGAACAAAATTCTCTTCTCAAATATTTAAAGAGCCCTTAAAGTTTTAACAACTTTTGGCCAAGTTATTGCTCCTTAAAGGTATAAAGAGTTGCCTAACTATCCCCAACACGACCTATGATCTTTTAATTTACTAATAAGGAACATCCTTTTGACACCATATAGAAGCGATGCTAACAAAGTAATTCACCAAATATATTTCATGACCAAATCAGAACACAGAAAGAATCAAAAGAATTGAGGTCAAGAAAAATCACATTTATAATAGTATGTTAATACTCTCGGTTCTGCCATATTTAAATCTAATACACAGTAAAGGTGCTAAATTAACATCACTCACAGGAATTCGAACCACTTCATTCCTCCACCAGCCAAGAGAGTTGTAAACCACAACAACCTAAATATGCAAAGAGCTCGTAAGAAGGCATGCTTCAGAATTATTGGGAGTATTTTTACTTGTGTTGTGAATGAAAAAGAAAGACGATAAAAAAGTTTTTCTTACCAAATTTTTCCCTTGAATCAGATCAACTTCTGACGGAGGACAGTAACTTACATTCATAAGTGGACACTAAAAGAAATGAAGAAGGAAAGAGGTGTAAACACAAAATAGAAATGTCAAAATCATATGCAGAACAAGTATAAGAAAGATATTGTAAGGATTCATGAAGTACGCGCAAGTTAATTACTGAATAGCCCCTTGTGAATAACGAAGAAAAACTCAAGAACAGCAGGTTTTATACAAAGCAATAATTAAGATCAGGAGAAAAGTCAAGATTTTAATGATTTAGAGTTTAGATAAGGCAGTTATCAAACCACATAATCTTATAAGTAACAGAGATAACCTCAGAAGCTGTCCTAAATAATAAGAATAACAGGACTATAAGTTTTCCTTCAGTTTTTTTCTTTTTTCGATAAAAGAATTTAAACTAAGAAGGAAGAACAAGTATTTATAATAAAACACTGAACTAGAAATGGAGTGAGCCAAGTATTTATAATGAAAGTCAAGAATTTTACCTGTTGAAACTTAGTAACTGGATTCTGACATCCTGGAAATGACACAGACTCAACCAGGCAAGCAAGTGAAGATGCGACCAATTGCTCTGCCTGCACAGAATGCAGTATATCACTGGATGAAACCCTGACAAAGTGGGTACATAGATTTGCAGAAAATAAATTAACTGAATATACACCTCTTTGTATCCGATTGATAATCGTTTAGAATAATCATTGGCCACATGCTGCTTTTCTGTACCACTGACTGCATCATGGTGTTGAGCAATCGCTAAAGCATCAGCCAATGAATCAGTATTTGGCCCTGAATTCACCCTCCCCTTAAAAAGTTCTAGCTGTCTTGCAGCCTAATAATTCATTGGTAAATATAAACTCCTGAACATCATTCTATTACTTGATATAAACTATAAATACATAACTCATACCAAATAATAGCCACTCATTAGTCTGACATAGTATTTGAAGGCTGGCCTGCTGGTAAAGTATCCTGTCCAATAAGCATTTACTCGATCTGCATAGCTGGTATGTTTTCATGCACACAATAAGGCATAAAGAGATAAGCAAACAGAAAATACAAAAGTTAACTAATAAACGCAAATGGTTCATGCAGCACACTTTTGTTTACCAAATAGGTATGTACATCTTTCTTAACTTGTAATGTGCAAGTAAACCAAAAAAAGGAAACTATAAACTCACGGGAAGAAATCATCAGTCTTGAATGGCCACAACTCATTTGTAGCATATTTTGCATCAGTGTATATAGATGGCGTAGAGTAGAGGGCATTGACACGTCCATCCTAAAGTTGCCACAGAGCCATTTATCAATTCCAGAGTTCACAAGGACTAAAATAATGACAGCAAGTGAAATTGTGGCCTGAAGCACTGGTCAGGACCGGTATAGAAGTGTTGTTAGCTGTATTCTCTGTTATAACTACTGAATTAGTGGATTTCTGTTTCAGAGGGATTAATTCTGAAAAAGGTTGTTAGGAGATGGGATGCCCACCCAACTAACTATCTACCACTTTTTACAAGTCTCAGTCAGATTTTTTTTTTTTTTTTTTGGGGGGGGTGTTTGGTTTGGTACAATTGTTGAATGAATAGATAAGCAATTCTAGAAGTGAGGACCAAATACTCAAACATTGTGTGAACTAGAGAATGCGGACCACCGAACACCTTATGTGTGGAGTTGGCATCTTACTTGTGTATATATTGTAAGGAGAAAACTTATATACAAAGCCATATATACTTAAGGTGTTTGTTTTTAATTAAATCAAGGCATGTGTATCATTTATAAATTATTTATTCTATAATAAATTCTTATTATTAATATTGTTAAAATATTAAAATCCACCTGTTATTATATGATTAGATAAAAGTATATTAAGTATATAAGGCAAATTCCTAAGTCTTGCCCATTTTGTAATATCCCAAATTCCCACTGCATTCTTTGCCCTCGTTATGTTTTTGGGGTTGTGATCATAGCTTCTCTCCGCTCATGGTTGATTTAAAGTTCTTGAGTCTAATGTGCAGAGGAATTGAGCAGCTTTGTCCCACCTTTTAGCCTCTTTTCAGCTCTTTATCTTTTTTTTAACTTCTCTTTTTGGAAGATACCTTGCACAAAAAATAAAAGCTGTACTCTTCTCATTCCGTTAAAGTTTTTTCTTTTATATTTCTCTGAAGCATTATGCTGGAACCATATTCCCCTAGGAGAAGAAATGATCATAAAAACTGAATTCTACAAAATTAATGGAGCCAGTACCTCACTTTCTTTCATTTTATGGGAAAGTTACCTTGTTGACATAGTGTATAAGCTTGTCCAACTGCCGGAACCATGACTGTGCATATTGATACTTAAAATCCGTTCCCATAGTCCACATTATATGATTTGTTCGAGTTATATTAGCCTGAGGAAGAAACACTATCAGTCAGCAATTCAGATGAGACCCTGCGTGAAAGTCTTCATATTTCCAACGTGAATAATATATTTTCTCCCACATCACATGCTCAAGTACAATTACTCATATCATTTATGATTAGCATGTGATCTCATTGCAGTTGAGATGGACTTTTACCAAGAATATAAGAAACCTATTTCTGAAACTCCCATTTAAAAAGAAAAAAAGGAGAAAGAGAAAAAACTAAGGATAATTACATGCTTGCATTAAAAAGCAGCATTGCATTCAAGAATTAATTGGAAATAAACTTTTGATGGACCGCATAATTTATATGACTGGATGAATGAACTGGAAGGGCCTTAGGGTAGAAGCAGGCAAAAATAGATGAACATTCATGATAATTCGTCTCACAAAAACGACAGCCTGGAAAAAGCTGCTACAACCTTCCATCTTTCTTGATTGATAGTTTAAAAAATAAATAAATTAAAAAAAGAAAGAGAAATGAAAAAGTCAAGCCATAGTTAAGAATAATCCTGCTTTATACATGCCCCAAACGGGACAAGTGAACTGCATTTGGGTTTGCACAAGAGATGAATGAGGAGGAAGGAATATGGCAGAATACTTGTAATTAATATATATATATATATATATGTACACCCCTCTCCAGCTGGTGACGAAAAATGCTTCATCCATCTTAAATCTTTTGGGGAAAATTACATGTAAATCCCATAACAAATATGAAATGCCAATTGCTTTACATCTATAGAAATATAAAAATTACGCTCTTGCCAGTATTGCTTGGGATAATGATATGTAACAGTAAGGAAGAATCAATATGAGGAAAAAATATCGTCATGAAGGATAGCCGGAGCACAATATTAAATCAAACTTCTTTAAAGAAAATTGAAAGAAACCAGAACATAACTTCAAAAAAGGATGGACAAGTGGCAATCATGTCATCTTCTAGCTGTTTTCACTTTCTGTTACTTCTGTGCCTTTTTAAGGATTATTAGTGTTCTTCTCTACTATATCCCCTTTTCAATACTAATAAAATGTCTTCCACTTTACTCAATTATATCATATAAGCTAACTTGTCCAGAAAGTTCCAGAAAACCATAATCATTTACCTGTGATACAGCAGCAGCAACAAAGTCATTTACTCGATCTTGGACATTGTAATCAAACAAATCAATGTTATCCTTCACAAAAAAAAGGGGGGGTAATCAAGATTTAGTGGGGCAAAAATATATTTAGAATTAAAGTGACCAAAATTAACAAGTTCTTATTAAAATACATACTTGAACAATTGGTGAGTCGTCATTAACTTCAAAGTAAAATCCAGCAGGTGGCTCATAATTCTCAGGGAATGCACCAGCATAGATCTGGAACACAAAGGAATGAGGAGACAAAAAAACATGAAAGTTAAGAGAATACATCACCAAGAAGTCCAACTATACAAAGATTATATGAAACAGCTAATAATATTTCACCTGAGCAGATGAACCAAGGCTCTTGCTTCCCTGCCAGATAACCTCAAGACTCTTTTCATTTTTGCGCTTAGCTCTATCTTGATAATCTATTCGACCAAAGAAAAGGGAGTCAAAGCCAACCTGCATCCACAATTAGAATTAGAAGATAGCTCAAAAAGAAATGAACAATATGCATGACAGTCCTTTTTCTTCCAAACAAAAATAACAAGATTCTGTGGTTGAAGGTCGAAGGCATACTTCAGATCCCAACAAGTATGCCTGCACAGCAGAATGTCCAAAGGGGTCAATTTGCCAACCAATTCTAGGAGTCACGCCAAACTCCTCTTTCAGGAACCGATGTCCCATTGTTGTTTGATCAATCATGTCTATGTAATGTGTTGCCGCCTCGTCATGCATACACATGCCACCATTTCTGTGACAAGTGGGGAAAATAAATCACAGAAAAATCATCAGGACTCAAATACCAGGTGAGTGGAGAGAGAACTCAAAAATATATTTTCTGGCACACTCCAAACTTCGAATGACTTTTTTCTCTCAAGTAAAGAGAAAATTAAAATTTGTCTAAGCAGAAAAGCAAATTACATGAATTCTAATTGACCCGAACTGACAAGTTGCTTGACAATATGCTTAATAGCTTCACTCTGATCCCTCCACCATCGCTGAAAAAAAGCCTGCATTGATGATGAAACAATGTAAAAATTGATCCTGGAAAATCTTGAAAGCATTAAAAAAAATTCAGGACTGATGTAAGCGAGTACCAAAAATTATACCATAAATGATCATATGGTTGCCAATTCTTAACAAAAACGTGTACATAAACAATGACATTAAAGGCATAAACATAGCTTTAAGGAACAAGCAAGAAATTTAGACATATAAGTCTTAGCTCACGGTTGGTACGATAGAATGGTTTTTAAGGAAATGAGAATCAGAATGGGAAAGGGAAATGGTCTTCCATGGAATCAATTTGCATCTTGGTAGTTGGTACATCCTTTATAATAAAAAAGGGATGACTAGTCTTAAACAATAAAAAGTAGGATTAATTTTGTCCTCGGCATTTTGGTTTCTAAGGGAAGTGACATTTCCTTAACTATCTTGATAGAAGGCTCCTTCCCATGGTTAGTGGAAGTAAGCTTTTCAATAAAAAAAGTCATCATGACTTATTAAACACACCGAGAAGTCTTCTCTCTCTCTCCTTGTTCATCTCTTGAAACTCCTTTCCTCTCTAACAATTACCAAACATACCCTTACAATGTGACAAATTGGTCTGGGATTTCTAGATATTTTTAATTATCAATATCACAAGCATTGACAAGCCCATCATACTGTGGAGATGCACTGATCTAAACCGGGCCAATTTCCTGTTAGACATTCAAACAAGCAGTAGATTAGTTTAATTTATTAAAATTCATTGAAGCCATTTGAAATTTGCATAAGTTATAATTAAATTAGAAGTTGGTGCAGCATTTCAAGAAACTGCAATTCCATAATTTTGCCAGAAGAATTCTGAATGCCCTTAGTTGTCAGTACCACAAGTATCAGACTACTAGCAAACCAGCGAAATGTGCAGGAAGCTGCATGGATCAAGGGGAAGCAAATTGCCTCATTAGATACAAGCAAGAGTTCGACTTTCCACATTAATTGAGGGGTTCTGGAAATTGCGCCAATTAAAAGTACATTACACTGGCAGGTGGGGCCTCCAAAGTTTGAACTGAAATTCCGAAGGGCTAAGGTTTGTGGGAACGATTATTCCAACTTCTAATATATTTTCATCTGGGTTACTCAGTAATCGCCAGAAGGAATAAGGACAGAAAAGATTGCCAGAAGTAAAGGACATAGGAGAAGCTAGTAACTCACTATCTCAACGTAGATAAATTTCCGATTCTTGTCAGCCAACAGCGAGGGAACTAAGGAGTCTAACACATTTTGAACACAAGCCCCCTGCAAAATTCAACAACTATATGAAATTTACAATCTCCAAGCGAAGTTGTGCAAATTACTAGTAGTAGTGAGTGAGTGAAAGACCTGAATCGAATTATTAGAGCCAACATAGTACTGATCAACAGTCTTCAACCAACCAACGTCGTCGTGGGTGTGAGGAACCAGGTGAATGTTTAGCTTACCGGGAACTATGCTCTGCGATGTGTTATACACTATGAACTTGGATTGCCCGCAAAAGATTTCTCCAAAAAGGAACAGCAACAAAAGTAACTGATTCGCCATTAGAAGCTCACGCCAATCCCTCGAGTAAAGCAACTCCAGACACACTACGAAATAGTATCCTCTCTCAGTCTACCGCTTGATGTTCATGCACAGCGCTAATTTTACAATTCATCGGACTAATTTTCAAGGTGATTTTCTCAGCATACGAAGCTCTTTTGACTTCACCTTCTTCGCGCAAATGCAGCCAAAATCAGTCAAGTGTTTGGTAGATCGATTCTGTTGACATTTTCTGAATTATAGCACTTGCGTTTCCAAAATTTAATATTACTTCCGATTCCGAAGTTCCGATAAGGAGCTGACAGGGCAATGATAGATGATCCATATTTTCCTTGTTAACTCACGGTCCCAATTGACCATTAAAGTTTTGCATTTAAAGCCATTGCAAGGAGAACTGAAGAAGGGAGTTTCATTCCAATGCAGATTTTTAAAGAATTTGTCAAAAAGAATACAGATTTTTAAAGAAAAGTTAAATAAAATTAAATTTGCGCTTTTTTCCCTACAATTTGCGGTCTTTTTTTAACTCAGTGGTCTGGATAAGAAGCTGACTAGGCTACATGATAGATCGTTGTATTTCTGATTATCAAGGTGTTGTTCATATCCTCGCTTCAAAAAATAATAATAATAATAAATAAGGAAAGTTTTATTCATATCCATTACCTACCCAAAGAAATGTATGTTTCAGGTGATTCGTTGATTTTAGTCACTGTAATTTTTTCAGATAAAAAATATCACTATAATTTTGACCCATAAAATATCACGCTGCTTTCACTAGCACTTCAGTGCCACTAAATGCGCTCCAAGTCAAAGCACAGATGGTAATTAAATTTTCACCTCAAAATTAAAAAAAAACATACAATTTTAATCTCTTCACTTTGTTCATATTTTATTATAAATTTTTATATTTTTTTATATTTTAAATTCCTACACTTTCATTTTTTTATATCTTAGGTTTTTAAATAAACAAAACGAATAAAGTATAAAAACTTAAATAAACTTAAAACATCAAAAAATGAGAGTGTATAGACTTAAAACATAAAAAAAGTGCAAAAATTTATAATAAAATATGAGCAAAGTATAAAAATTAAAATGTATATTTTTTCTTGAATTTATTATCCAAAAATGTTTTTTTTTCTGCCTATATAAAAAATGTGTCGAGGCATTGATTTAATTTTTCAAATCTTATTTATTGTCTTGAGTGAACCTTGTTCGTCTTGCAACATTCATCTATATTTTTGTTTTAGAATTCAAATGTAATCTTTGAAAACATTGATATAACACGTAATTATCAATGATTCCTTCCAAATTATAATATAAATTATTTTTTTAAAACCTTGTTTGATTTAAAATATAGGACATTTGATAGCTTTTATATTTATTTTTAACTATATCCCTACTTTATTTATTATTCTCTTTAAAAGATCATGTATTAAAATTTTAATTAGTATTATCATTGATATTACATATGGTATTTAATAAGGGTATAAATGAAAATATGTGTACATTTGTAAAAATTTAAGATTTTAATTAATATTATTCATAAACTATAAATTAATTAATTATAACTTATATGGTCATTTGGAGGGAATAATAAACAAAAACAAGTTATAGCATAAGAGAGCTTCATGGTTTCACATCTTACTCTTGTATGACAAGGCAGTAATTTATTCTCCACTTTTGTTAGCCCGTTTCAACTAATAAATAAATGTGCTTTTCCTGCCACTATGCTCGTTTTAATTGAAAATGGACGGAAAGGGCCTAACCTTACGTTGTCAAGTGACACTCACTCAGCCAACACAAACAGGAAAAGAATGGGATGAAGGACCTGTTGGTATTGGCAAATGTATTTAGACAATATAGACCTGAATTGCAAAACATGGAATTTGGGTTATTCTAATAAAAACTGATAACAAATTTATTGTAATCTATAAGATTATATTCAAATTTCACTGCTAGTATAAGAATTTTATTGATGGATGATGTGTAGATACTTTTCAAACTCAAACTTACACAGAGCACCTTGATGTGATGAAAGAGGATTTCTAACATATTAGGCACACCACTTTTATGATAGGAAGAGGGGAAAAAAAAATTAAGGCTCGTTTGGCTCAACAATAGTAATAAGGATGGCATTGCTGTTAGGAGAGTAGTTTAGTTGCCTTTTCAAGTGGTCACCTTTAACCATTGTTGCCAAAACGATGGCAATATTCATTCATTGTACCTTTCCTCGTCGGGGCCGTGAAAAAGAGTTTTGGGATCCAAAATAAAATTATTTAAGAGGCCCATGTATTATTATTTATATATATATTTATATTAGTTTTATAGCTTCTTATACTGTAAAATTAAATACTAATTTTTTTATAATCAAGTAATTATAATATTTTACTTTTAATAGATAATATAATTAATTCATTTAATTTATTTTTTGTAGTATGATTGCTTTTAAATAAGATTCAAATAATTTTCATTTTGAAGAACTTCTTTGACCAATAGCAATTATTACTGGTATTATCAATAATGTTCCGTAAACAATAAAAAATGACTAATATTATAAGATATATAATTAATATTAATGCTTAATGAGAAAAATAATAATTAATTATATCGAGTATAAGTAGTTTTTTGTTGAGACCTGTGGCAGCCACCTCATTGGCCTAATATGAGTCACGACCCTGCACCACGTCATCATCTTTCCATTCCAAAATTGCCCTTTTGGTAACCTCTTCACCTTTCTTTAAAGCCTCCTTCTTCAATCGTATCGCAATCACGTCTGATGTCATCAAAGCATGTGTGTTTGAAATATTATTTTGACTTTTTGTTAATTTACCCTAACCTTCTCTATTTTTCTTGTTCTGACTCTCCCACGTGACGCCTCGGCAAGAAATTTGCAACCTTCTCTATTTGCAACGTGTTTAATTTGACTCTGCTAAAAAAAAAAAAAATTTCCATCACATCCTCCTGCAAACAACAGCATGCAATCTGGTTGGGATAGACTATAGGGAGTGGAGTTTCCATGGCATTAGATGTGGAAGAGGCCCTTTCTTTATAAGCCAGTGACTAGAATTATGCCCCATACAATCCACGTGGGTTTTAGTATTTAAAAAGTAAAAGTAAATGTATGTATTAATATTAAAAAATTATTTTTGTGTATTTAAAGTAAAATACATTGTTTTTTCTACATTTTATCTTAATTACAAATACTTCCTTTTTTTATGACTTTCTTTTTATTTTTTAAATCTATACGAAATTTTCTCAAAATCAATTGTCAATTGTTACAAAACACATGAATTTTATTTTTAAGTTTTCATTTCCACTCGTCCAACCATTAAATAATAGTAGAGATAATAAGGTGAATTAAGCCTTTAGGCTCAACCTGTTAACCTGAAAAAAATATAAATTGAGTTGAAAAATGAGTTCATTTTTATGTGAAGCGGTTTTGACTCGCCCTGCATAAATTGAACCTACAACGGGCTAACTTGCGAGTTGGCTCACTTATTTTAAAAAAAGATATAAATTATATAATCGTTCTCTCAATTCTAAAACCTTTACCATTATTCAAATTATTAGAATGATTCAAAATATGTGCTTATTATTTACTGTCATTATCATCTATCACATTTAATTAGTTGATATATATAAAAATTCATGACCAGTCAAAGTGCATTAATGTAACATGCACCCAACTAAGGAATTTTTTACAATTGAATTTGAGTAAAATATTTTCAAGCAAGCTCAAACAGTATAGTCATTTATTCTTTTTTTTAAGTTACTTGGGATTTAAACTCTTTATCGTTATGCTATCATTTGAAATGGTGCTGTTCCAAGTGATATATGAATCATTTTTAAGTCATTTAAAATGATCTATGTATTAACCTTCAAATCTTCTTTAACAACTTTTAAATTATGAGTTATTAATTAGGCTGTTAAGCCATAGATAAATCTTAATTTTATTTTATTTTTCTTGCATCATCTTTGCTATTACATTTTACTTCAATAACCCATAATTTATCAGCTAGCAAAAAAAAAAAAAAGAGTTAGCTCGCCAACCTTTATCCAAATTAATGTCAAATTTAATTTTACTTTATAAACTTCTATATGCTAATTGTATTTTCATATTTAATTATGTGATACTGATAATTAATAATAGATAAAGCTCCTAACATTATAATAAATTTGTAACCTTTAAGATTAAAAAAATGTATATAAATTTTTTTTTATTAGTGAACCCAATAACTCACTACAAGTTGGCGAGATAGTAGAAATACAACCCACACGATATGTAGGTTATATCAAATTGCCCCATCGAGCTCACAACTCGGGCCAGCTCATGGGTCATGAGTTGACCTAGCTCTAGTTAATAGATAGATCACGTGTTTGATCAAACTATTAATATTGATATATTCTTTTAAATTTTTATTCATGTTTTAAATTTATTAGCTATACAAACTTATTTATTTAGTATTTTAAAAAAATATTAAAAACATAAGTCTGTTGAAATAGTATTTCAACCACACATGAAAAAAAAAACTTAATGAAATATGAATTTAGCATAATAAAAGGTAGATTAGTCATAGACAATACAAAGTATGCTTATATTTATTTAAGTTTTATAATTTTAATAAAACATCTTAAAATTATTTCATTTAAATATTGTCACGCTTAACTGTTCAAAGTTCCTTTTTTTTTGGACAAAAAATTGTTTGAAGTTCCTTTTTTGGCCAGAATTTTGTTTCTTCGTGTATCATCTTAAGAAAAATTAAGCATGTACTATAATAAATCAAACTATAATTTATATCATGATATTATTTATAAATAATAAATAAAATGATTTTAAATTAAGAAAATAGTATAATCTGTGGCTCCATGTTATAATACTGTTCATCAATCTTATGCATGTGCAATGCAATTAACACAGCAGTTAAAAAAATTAAGTATATGACGGAAGACGGATTCATTAACATTATATAATTAACTCAAAGCACATAATTATATAAATATTTTTTTACAGTTTTTCAAACCTTGATATACTTTTACATATAAATAACAGAATAATAGATTTCCTACCTCATGCAATTGAATAATATGGATAAAAACTTGTTCTTGATTTTCTGGTGAAATAACAAAAACTAGTTCTATTTTAACACAAACTATTTCATGATTTGTCACCCCTTGAAAACAATAAACATACACTATTTTTTTTTAATCTAGATAGTGTTATTCCCATATAAGTTTGAAATTTTTTATCACCATATAATTTTTATTTAAAAATAAACTTTTATTTTATAAATAACAACTTGCTTTGTTAAGAATTTATTATCCTTGTGATAGTAAAAACATAAATAACATATTCATCTATATTAAGAATATGTATAATAAATTGTTTTATTTTTATACCAGTGAC